CCCTCCTCTCCACTTAAAGCCGGTCAAAGGCTCATCGTCATTACACAGCCAGTTACCAACTCGTCCCATTTTCTGTCGTTCACACGGGTGTACATCAGAGGAGGGCAGTTCATGACAGCAAGAAAACAATGACAACGATGATTACGTTGCCCCCTCCCTCCCCAACTTCAAATCCCGCCCTGAAGACCTTCCTTTTTGATCGCGCTTATGGTCGCTTCCTACTTCCCTCTGCCCTTGGCTCATTGACAGACTCTGCCACGGTGAAGCGTTCCGGGAAGCTACCCCGTGTGAAGGGCGCGAGATGAATGCAAGTTCCTGTTGTTGTGTGTGTTTGTACGTGTGTGTGTGCATACCGTGTGTGTGTGTGTGTGTGCGTGTGTACGGTGTGTGTATGTGAGTGTGTGTGTGTGGCTGGGGAAGGCGAGAGAGAGGGACGTCTGTACCTGCATATACATATAGCGTAGGAAGAAGTCAAGGAGGAAGGACTTGCCCTTGCGGAAGGCACCGGCTACAGACACGACCACCACATCTAGGTCCTGGACAGTGTCAGACAGGAGCACACGGCTCAGAGCTTCTTCATTCAGTGTGAAGGTGTGCTTGTCTTTGTGCATGTCGATCACCTGTATTGAGCTGGCCTTGTGAAACTCCATCGCCTGTCTCCTGTCCGGGGCGGTGGGGTGGGAGGTGGGGTGGGGGGGGGAGAGGAAAAACGGCCACACTTTATATTTGCCCTCCTCCAAGACGTCATCTGAAATAACAGCCACGCGCGCGGCCCCGCGGGCTCTTCGATCCCTCCGCCCCGCTCGCTCCCTTCCTTTCCGCTCCTGTGGAAGGATTCCCGCAGCGTGGCGGTCAGCTTCGCTCGCCTCGCAAGCCAGAGGACCTGCGGTCAACTCGGCCGGGCAGGTCGAGTCGAAACCTTAGGCGGGTTTCCTTAATCCATACACACACGCGCGCGCACACCATCTCTGTTTAACCCAGCAGTTAGCAAGGACCTCGTTAATAATAATAATAATAATAATAATAATCCTCGCATTTGATATAGCGCTGTTCACGTCGGGAGGACGTCCCAAAGCGCTTCGCAGAACGCAGCGTAAAGTGAATCGACTGTATATATGGGGGCGAACGCGGCGGCCGATTGCGGTTGTCAGTTCACGGGCTTTTCCGGGGGGGGGGGGGTGGGTGGGTGGGGGGGTAATAATTCCTGAAAATCAACCCCAAAAAAACACCACCAACAGCAACAACAACAACAACTTTGGTCACTCGATCCGCCCCTGTTTGGCGGGACCCCGCCCCGCGCGGCCGGATGGCCGCCCGCCGCGCCCTTCGCCCGCCGGTACCCGACGCCCCGCCCCGCCCCGACCGGGCGGCGGCGCCGAACGCAGAGGGCCCCCGCGGTCAAGTGCCCGGGGGGGTGGGGGGGGGGGTGACCGCGATCGAGGACGCGCGGTTGGTCGGGTCGGTCGGGTTGGGTCCGGTCGCCCGCCCTTGACCGCGCCGGCCTCACCTCCGAAAATGCGCCCGGCTACAACGTTAGCGTTCACCAGGACCCCCTCTCCCTCCCTCTCTCCCTCCCTGTGTCTGTCTGTGTCTCTCTCTCTCTCTGTCTGTCTGTGTCTGTGTCTGTGTGTCTGTGTCTCTCTCTCCATTGCTGTCAGAGGACAGCCTTTGTTTACCGTTGCCAAGGGGGCGTGGCTCCGGTTGCCAGGGTGCCGCGGGGGCTTCTGGGACTTGTAGTCTTGGCGTTCCCGCCCCCCCCATCGACCCCCACCTCAATCGATAGGGACGGGTGACCAGCAGTGAGATAGATAGATAGACAGATTAACTAATACATAATCACCATGGAGATAGAGAGAGAGAGAGTTAGAGGAGAGAGAGAGAGAGAGAGAGACATGAGCGCGGCTCTGGGGCCGGGGGTCCGAACCGCCGCCGCCGCCGCCGTCGCCGACGAGGGCGCGCCGGAAGTGACGCGCGACGCGCGGGTGCGCGCGCACCGCCCCGCACGCGGCGCTTCGACCGTTGGGTTTGGGCGGGAAAGGCGCCAAAATGGCGCCCGGGACCAACCGTCACCGCCTCCGCCTCCGCCTCCCGAGCTGATCGCCTCAAACCGCCGCCGCCGCCGCTCCCGCCACCCCCACTCCCCACGGTGAGTTCTGTTTTATTTTGGATGGAGGCGCGGGAATTGCGTGGGGGCAGAGAGGCCCGAGCGTCGGTGGCGAGGGCGGGAGGGCCGGTCAGGTCGGTATGGGTGGGGGGGGGAGAGTGTGTGGGTGGGGTGGGGGGTGGGGAGTGTGAGTGGGGGATGGAGGGGTGTGGGGAGTGTGGGTGGGGATGGGGGGTGGGGAGTGTTTGTGGGGCGGGGGTGCGGGTGGGGGGGGTGGGGAGTGTGGGGGAGGTGGGGAGTGTGAGTGGGGGTTGGATGTGGGTGGGGAGTGTGGGGGTGGGGAGTGTGTGGGGTGGGGGGCTGGGTGGGGTGTGTGGGGGGTGGGGAGTGTGGGTGGGGAGTGTGTGGGGCGGGGGTGTGGGTGGTGGGGGTGGGTGGGTGGGGTGTGTGTGGGGTGGGGAGTGTGGGGTGGGGGGATGGTTTTGGGGTGTGTGTGAGGGGGGATGGGTGGGGAGTGTGTGGGGGGGGGGTGTGGGTTGGGGAGTGTGGGGCGGGGCTGTGGGTGTGGGGTGGGGGCACAGCGGGCGAGTGCTGCGGCGGTGACCGGGTACTTTGGGGGCGAAGTGCGGCAGGCGGTTGCGCACAGCCACGTCCCCGTTCCCCCTCAACAGCCCCCCCCCCACCCGCCGCGCGCGCACAGTCGTGGATCATAAGGGGACAGTTTTTTTTCCCCAAGGGATCATTACCCCCGGAAACGCGATCCGCCGATCGACTGACGACCGGGTTCCTACTGACCGCTGGTAAACAGTGGCGCGTGTGTGAGCGTGACCGCGTGTGCGTGTGCGCGTAGTAAAGAAAATTGCCCAGTATTTCGCCCCCTGACCCCGGCCGGGAATCGAACCCGGGTCTCTCGCTTGCGAGGCGGTTACGTCCGTTGACCGCCGGGCGTCAGGACTCCGCAACAGGAGGGCGGCAACGGGGGAACCAACGGTCACAGTTTCGTTTTTATTAACTTACTCGCCGACTCACAATTACACATCCCGGTTTTTTTTTTGTTTTCTTTTTACGTCCCACACACCCCCCCCCCACCCACACCCACCCACGGCTCCGCTTATTCGCTCCGGTCAAAAACGCCCCGCGTGGACCTTCCGCGGATGGTGTCCGCGGGACGGAAAAGCGGGGGCAGGCGGAGGAGAGATACTCCGCTTACGACGGCTTGCTTTGTCTCTTGAGCTTATAGAGGTGTTTTCTGACGCGGAGGCTGACCGGTATACCCATCACGTAGAGCAGGTTCAAGAATCTCCATACCTGGGGTGGAGGGGGGGGAGGGTAGAGGCACAGGTTAAAGGTGGACGAGGGAGCTAGATTATCGCTAGCCAATTAATAATATTAATAATAATAATCCTTGCATTTGATATAGCGCTTTTCGCGTCGCGAGGACGTCCCAAAGCGCTTCACGGAACACACTGTAAAGTGAATTGACTGTATATATTTGTGGGCGAAAGCGGCAGCCGATTGCGCACAGCAATGTCCCCACAAACAGTCGTGGATTGAAAATGACCAATTTATTGTTGTTGTTTTTTTTTTGGGAGGGATTATTATTAGGGCTCTGTGTGGAGTAAGGAAACTTGCCCGAGGTTTCGCCCTGACCTGCCTGGGATTGAACTCAGGTCTCTCGCTTGCAAAGCGAGTGCTCTAACCACTGAGCGACAGGACTCCCTGTAATGACAGCTCCTGTAATTGACTAATTAATGACAGCTCCTGTAACGAGGCTCCTGTTATTAACACCGCGGCACACGTGCACTTTAACAGTTATACTTTCACTACCACCCCACCCACCACCACCACCACCTCCGGACACACTGCCCCCATACAGGAGGAGGAGAGTCTCACCTGCCCAGACCAGTCCGCGCCATATCTCAGCCGGGTAATGAAGTGCTCACAGTTGGCTTTTAAGAGTTTGTAACTGACTTTGAGGCCCACGAACTTCTCAGCATCGCGCACTATATCCTCGGCCGCTCGCGGCGGCCACAACGAGTCCAACGTGTTGTTCACCTGGTAATGGTCACCCCGGTGCACATCCCTGAGCAGCTCCTTCTTCACCAGCGCTCTCACCCCAAACAAGGAAATGCCGCTGCAGGCCTTATCTGGGGAAGAGCGACATCTGCTCACGCTCGCTCGCAACGTCTCACGCTCGCTCCCACCTGCTCACGCTCGCTCACATCCTTTGACACTCACTCGTACTAAGTCACACTCGCTCACACCAGCTTGAAAATACATCACTCTGTCAGAAAGTGGGGAGAAGGGGTTACTCACTGGGTAAAGTGATGTGAATGACATATCCGTTACCCACATAAATGGCCCAGTGTTGATAAGTTTGACGGAAAATCTCTATCTGGTCCCCGGGCTTTGGCTCCACATGGTGCTGGCGAGAGAGAGAGAGAGAGAGAGAGAGTGTGAGAGAGAATGTGTGTGTGTGAGAGGCATCATTTTGTGGATGAAAGAATGTGTGTGTCAGAGAGTGTGAGAGAGAGAGGTAGAGTGTGAGAGAGATAAGAGTGAGAGAGGCAGAGAGAAAGCTCGGGTGTGAGAGAGTCTGTGTGTGAGAGAGTCTGTGTGTGAGAGAGGGAGTACGAGAGTGTGTCTGAGAGGGAGGCAAACAGAGAGAGTGTGTGTGAGAGTATGAGAGAGTGAGGAAGAGAGAGTGTGGGAGAGAGTGTATGTAAGAGTGAGAAAGTGAGCGCATGAGTGAGTGCGAGTGAGAGCGTGAGTGAGAAAGTGAGCGTGTGAGGGAGAGCGCGTGTGAGACAGAGAGAGTGTGTGTGTATGAGAGAGAGGGAGCGAGGGGTATGTTTACTCGTTACTCACAATGTCTAAATCCATGTGTCCCGTCACAGCCCGATCAATGGCAGAGGCTCTGGCTGTTCCCCATTCAGATACATTCAGTTGCTGGGTCCGTGACACACAGGTTTCCTGATAGAATCACAGAGTATATACAGTATATATATATATATATCAGGAGCACATCTCTCTGCGCTTCACGGGACTCACTATTATCAAGTGTGATGACTTGTTATAATAATAACAATCCTTGCATTTGATACAGCGCCTCATCACGTCTCCGAGACATCTCAAAGCGCTTCACCGAATAATAATAATAATAATAATATACTGTATGTACTGTAAAGTGAATTGACTGTATATTTTGTGGGCGAAACGCGGCAGCCAATTGCACGCACGTCACTGGCGTGTGAAGGAGGAAGTGCGAAAGAAGAAAAGGATAAAGGCATTGTGCAAGCGCTTCACTGGAATTTGGATCCGATCCGACACGTCACGGTGTCTTTATGACCCCTCCGCTCACACCCAATCTCTGGCTCTACATCACACATCTCACAGACAGACGCAGCAGAGACATTGAACCTCATTCCTCGTCACAGTCACAAGACAATGAGCAGCGAACTCTGTTAAAAAGCGCTTTGAGACGTCCTCCCGACGCGATAAAGCGCCATATCGAGCGAAGGGAGACTGTTGTTATTTGAATCGGAGGCGCTACCACAGGCGAAAGGCGCTGTATAAAGTTTCCTTACCCCACACACACACACACACACTCACACACACCTCTGTACACCAGCAGTAAGTCGGAACCCGCTTGTCAGTCGATTGGCGGATCACTTTCCGGGAGCAACAATCCTTCCAAACACAACTAGTCACTCAATCCACGGCTGTGTGTGGGACACTGCTGCGTGTAATTGGAGGCCGCGTTTCGCCCACAGTCGCCGCACTTTGCAGTATATTCTGTGAAGCGCTTTGAGACGTATCAATGACCTGATCAGGCACTGTGTCGGATACAAGGGTTATAAACTATTAGCAGAAAGGCTTTCTGTGTTAGTCCCCCAAGCAGTGTGTACTCACTGTGTCTCTCGGGGCACTGTCCACTCGACCCAGCATAAACAGCCTCAGCTTCTGTCCGTGGTTAGGTGTGTGCGTGTATGTGTGTGTGGGTGTCTGCTCACTCTCCTCCGCTATAAACCAGCACATGATTGCTGAGAAATAAAACACCGAGCAATAAACGGCAGCGACGTCATTTGCCAGAGTCCACAGGTTCCTCCGCCCCATCGCCAACAGAATACACAACAACAACACATTAGGTCGACACAGCGCCCTTCACGTCAGGAGGACGTCCCGAGGGGCTGGACGTTGAAGGGTTTTGCACCCGAGCTGGGGGTTGGGATCAGGAGGGGTCAGTAATGTGGAAACCCGGTCTTTGAAACAAATAACAGTCTTTATTTCTTTTACATTTGATTTGATTAAAATTCCTCCCAGACTCACAATTACATAACCTGGTTTTAACAGCTCCATTTATTTACACTTTAGTCCATAAACTCGTACTGGATTCCATTTGCTCTCTCTCTCTCTCCGTCTCACGCTGACACACTCGGCCTCTCTCACTCCCTCTCACGCACGCTCTCACTCAAACTGCCCTTCTCTCGCCCACACACTCCGCCTGTCTCCCACACACGCTCTCTCTCTCTCTCTCTCTCTCTCTCTCTCTCTCACGTGCTCTGCCTTCTTTCTCTCTCTCCCTCACCCACTCTGCCTCTCTCTCTCACGCTTTCATCTCCCTCTCCATCACATGCTCTCTCGCTCTCTCTCTCTCTCTCAAACACGCACACTCTCTCACACTCGCGCACTCTCACGTACACGCTCCCTTACACGCGTTTTCTCGCACACGCTCACACACACTCACGCTCTCTCACACACACTCACTCGCTCTCGCACGCACACACGTTCTCTCTCACGCTGTCTCACACACACACTCTCTCTCTCCTCTCTCCCTCCCCGGAGGTGCCTTTATATCAAAAATACACGGTGTGTGAACATTCCACACACGGAATTAAAAATAAAGTATTTTTTTTAATGGAAAAGCGGAAAGGCACGATGTGAGATATAGCCCCCCCCCCTCCCCTCCAGGAGAGGGAGGGAGAGAGAGAGAGAGAGAGAGATTCCCAAAACACAGGGGGAGTGGGAGGGAGAGAGACTCCATGTACAGCTCGGTTTGTCACTTCTTGTGTTGATTTCGAGGTTTCATGATCTGATAGCAGGCAGTAGCAATAGCACCCAGGAATATGGCTCCCCCGACTCCTAAACCCACACCTATAGCTGTTTCCACCTGTGTGTGTGGGGGGGACGGGGGTGGGGGGGGGGGGGGGGAGAGAGAGAGAGAGGCCAGGCACAGGTTATAGGTGAGCAGCTGGAGCTAACACATTCTTAACCACCCACAAAACACAGTCACTCCACTTTACAACAACAATGATAACCCTTGCAGTTGCCGCAGCGCCTTATCACGTCTTCGAGACCTACCAAGGCGCTTCGCAGGGTATACTGTAAAGTGTAGTGACTGCGTATTTTGCGGGCGAAATGCAGCAGCCAGTCGCTCACAGCTGCGTCCCACAAACAGTCGTGGATTGAGTGACCAAATTATTTTTATTTCTTGGAAAGGATGATTGCCAGAAAGCGTCACAAAGCGCTTCGCAGAAGTTTATGATCCCCCTTTTATTCTGGATTCCCCCCCCCCCCCCCACCCACCAGAGGAGATAGTTTATCTGCAGCTTCCCTATCGAATCCTTTTATTATTTTGAAAGCCTCGTCCCAAAAACACATAGAACAAAGAAAGAATGTTTGAGAGACTCACTCTCGTGCGCGAAAGAAAGAGGAAATGAAAGAGAGAGAAAAAATTAAGAGAGATAACCTTTGGGTGCGCCCTTCACGAGAATTTGGACCTGTTCAGAAACCACACACACACACAGTGATGTGCCCGATACAGAATGTTGTGTCTATTTAACACCACCCAAATCTCAGGCTCTACGTCACACACCTCACAGACGTTGTGCCTCGGTAAAGACATTAAACCTCACTCCCTGTCCATCTGCGCCCTGGGTTCGACTCCTCGGGCAGGGCGAAACCTTAGGCAAGTTTCCTTACTCCCCGCACACACTCACACACCTGTGTTTACCAGCAGTGAGTAGGAACCCGGTTGCGAGTCAGTTGGCGGATCGCTTTTCCAGGAGTACTAACCCCTCCAAAAAAAAAATAATAATAATAATAATTTGGTCACTGTTTGTGGGACTTACTGCCAATCGACTAACAAGCGGGTTCCTTCTTACAACAGCAACAACTTGGATTTATATAGCGCCCTTCACCCGGGCGGCATCTCAGAGGGCTTCACAGTAACGCATCCTGGGGCCGAGCCGGGGGGAGGGAGAGGAAGGGGACCGAAGGCGCGGTCGAAAAGAAAGGTCTTCAGTAGGGACCTGAAAGTAGGACGAGAGGGAGCGAGGCGAAGGGCGTGAGGGAGGGAATTCCAGAGCCTCGAGGCATAGTGGCTGAAGGGGGACGAGGAGGAGGTAAGAATACTTCTTACCGCTCGAAGTATTCGAGAGACAACATTGTGGAATTTGTACGATTTATATTCGATTGCATTTTAAAGTTAGGGTACGTTTTGCACTCTCTTCGATGCCAAGTTTGCTTGCAGTAGGTCGGGGAGGGGGGTGGGGGGGGAGTGTGGGGTAGCGAGGGGTGGAGGGTGTTGGAGGAGGGTAGGGAGAGAGTGGGTTGGAGGAGCGAGGGCTGAGATTAGCGGGGTAGGGGGCTTGGAGGGTGGGAGCGGGGAGTGTGAGAGGGGGAGGATGGGGAGGGACAGTGTGGGTGGGGAGCGAGGGTTGGGGTAGTGTGGGGAGCAGGGGGGGGTATGTGTGGGGATCTCACCTGGCTGCTGGAAGCCTGACCGTATCTCAGCTTGGTGACAAAGTGCTCACAGTTGGCACAGCTGATGTTGTAAGGGACTTCGAGGCCCACCCATCGCTCGGCCTCGCTCACGATGTCCCAGGCGTCCAGGGGTGTCCGCTTGTCATCCAGCTTGTTGTTGACACGGTGCTGATGGTTCCCAACCACTACCCACAGCTTCTCCTTCCTCACCACAGCCTTGTCCTCAACCGCGGACATGATGCTGTTTATCCCTGGCTCACCCCGCTCACCTGGGGGGTGAGTGACGCACCGTCAACAACCATCGGGGAAGGAGGGGGCGCGAGCGGAGCGGAGGGATCGAAGGGCGGGCGCGTGTGCGTTTGTGTGGCTGTTTATTTCAGATGAACTTACACAGTGCCT